CGCCAGTACTACCACCATGCCAGAGTTCAAAGAAGAATGCCTTGAAGTTCGCAACCCCGCTAAATCGTGTGTTCGGGTGTTTCCGCTTTCTACCACCAGTTGGCCGACAAGAGCTTGTTTGAGGTGTATACAAAATTCAATCAATAATTTTCTAGGTTGTGCCATTTGACATTTAAGTTATATATGTGCTTATTTGTGATGTGTGTTTATTAACAATTAAAAAGAAATGGAGGAAGCTGTGGAGAATTTAGAAAAATCAGTAAGTGAAGATTATTTTAATTCATTAATTTGTCGTAAACATTTCAACATGTCGTCGGGTAAATAAAAGTTGTTCAATGCATTATTAAACCGATTGGATTGTTTGAATATAAAATGGCTTCTAATTGATTTGATTTGTTTAGTTGACTTATGATTACAGCAATTTATTTTTATCTATATTTATGATATATGGTTTTAATTGATCAAAAACTAATAATACATGGTGAATACAGTAATATTTTTCCTTGAATCTGTGAAATTGTTTGTTCTCTGATTCTTACCATGATGGATCAGTTTTTAGTTGCAATTCTTTGAAAACTTATGAAAATCACTGTTTCTGGAGTTCCCTTATTTGTGTCTTTCATTCCCACTCATTATTTTCATGATTATTTTACCCAGGTGAAGACGACTGACCAAAAGTTGGAAAATGTAGTTTGTAAAATAGATGAATATGAAAAAAATATGTCAGAAAATGTTAATAACGACGTTGCAGTGTTTGAAATTCTGGAATCTGTCACCGAAGTCAAGAACGAATACCAAAACCTTAGAAAAGACATACTCGAAGTACAAGTCCTTCAAAAACAACTTGCCAACAACTTACGCACCCAATTAAAACAGGTTCAAGGAACTTTTACCATGCTAAAAGGTAAGATTGTCAGGCCAGAAGCTGCGACTCAAGAACGAGTGAGAATTGAAGGAAAGTAGCTTACAATTTCATTGAGATTTTATTCATTTTGGTTGTATAGCATTTCATATTTCAAGAGGACAAGTTTCTACAACTAGTTTGCGACCTAGTGAAACTGTTTTAGTATTATCAGTATTCATGAATTTTGTATACTTTCATAACATTTCATATATATAATGAATGAAATATTGTACAGAGTATATTTTGCTTAACGGTGTGAAGGATACATCTTGACTGACAAGCTTTTGATAAATATTGGGTAAACTGTAAGAAATTGAAGATTACGTATAATTTTTTAGATTGATAGCTTTGATTAAAAGATAGATCATTTATCTGTTAGCTATGGATGATTTCAATATTGTGGCTAGTTTGTCTATGCTTATATATGTATGCAGAAAGAGATGTCACAGATTTAACAACCTTGCACATTCGAGAATATTCAGAGGAGTTTGATATAAATTATGTTTTAATTTGTAACTAGAGAATGATAGACAAATGGAATTTTATTGAAATTCAAATTGGATTTGATCAGATTTTCCTAATGGCTACATAATATAATATTTTTTATTGTTTCAACTACAAAAGAACAATATATTTTCAAAACGAACAATAAAGTTAATGTTTTACAAAGTCCATTGTATTTTCAAAAATGTACCTATTTGTGGCATTTCTTGCTTATATAAAACCCATAAATTGTTTAATATGAACAATATATTCCTAATACTTTATTTGCTTTCAACTGAAGGTTATCAATAAATTTGTAATACAATAGATAAGTAGCTATATATTGATATAGACTAAAATACATGTTGTGACCATGTAATAATTGTTTCCTAACCATATCAATATTTGCCGTAAGTTAGAAAACACTGAGCACTTTCCACATAATCCTTCATTGAACATCTCATCTTTGCTAATTCACAATAATGGAATTTTAACAATGCTTTGGAAACAGATTTTGTTAAAAGATAGTTGTCAATATAAGCTGCAGTACATTCTGTGGATTCAAAATATTCTTGTAATACAAATAACACTAATCATTTTTCATGATCATATCATTGGCAAAGCTTTTGCATGTAGATATTCCTCAGCTTTAATTTGCTTGTTTGCGTTTGCAGCTTTTTATAATAGAACAACAATACATGTCTGATACTATGTATGGGTCCCCATTCTCAAACTATACATGCAGATGGGTGATTCTTACGCCTTACTCTAGTAATCTTCCTAATTATAAATATATGAAATTACAATGTTTTCTAGGACTTCAAGTTATATTTTCATGAATTTTGTATTATATACATATTGTTTAGGAATTTCACCAAAAAATTTGGCAAGATATGAACATACTACTAGATTGTACTTTAGGTATTTTTGGATACAAGTGAACATTGAAATATATTTGATAATGTTGTAATTTTATGAGTAATAGATAGCGATGTAATCAACAAAGTATTTTGATGCGATTACATTTTTGATGAATCGAGGCAGTCTTTTGCAAATCTGACTTAAGTACGCTTACAAATATGACTATAAAGTTAATAAATTTCACAGACATGTTTCTGTTATTTTGCAGAAAATAAATTTAAGACTGTGAATGTATAATTGATTTTTGCTCATTGTCTTATCTGTGTAATAAAATCAAAGGGCTGCAAGATGTGAATTAGAATACTCTCTTGAAAATATCGCTGGATACTACCTTACAAAATTCAAAATTGACTCATTATTTAATAATATGAAACAACCAATTAACATATACTAAAGTAACTCTCTTTAGATATAAGTTTAGAAATAATTATACTAGAACTTCAAACTCACTTATAAAGCAAAAACTTTAGAAAACAAATATTGCAATTATTTGTAAGCAAACTTGTGCAATTTTTTGCTCAGTTTAACCTGAAAATACCTTTTAATTGGTAAATTATAATTGTGCATAATTTTCTGTGATAATATAGTTTTCATGAATTGTTCATTCATGATGTAAGAGTAAATATAGTCAATTAATGTTATTTTATATACTAGCAGGTATACAAAAACATGCATTCTAAAATAAAATGGTATTTTTCAATGTGCCAAATTAGGGATATGTTGTGTTAATAGTTTATTACACAAATATTAGTGGAAAATTTTTGAAGACATTGTATAGATGCACTTAATACATGGTTTGTTAAGTCATGTGATTTATTTTGTATATCCCAATCCTAATATTGGTACATATTAGTATAATAATAATAATATCAAATGTGGAGTTTAAGCAACATTTGAAAATGTAGCTTTTCTGCTAAATTAAATTCAAGTTCCCACGATATTGGAGACCAATTTTATTTTGTTATTAACGACCAGAATTAAATAGTGACGAATTGTTGGAATTTGCTTGTTGGAAATGTTGAAATTTTTATAAAAACATCAAGATTTTATATATAGCAAACTAATCGAATAGAAAATCTTCGATTTCAAATTCAAGATCACACAAGATCCAGTTTTATTTTGTGTATTTACAATCAAAATTAAATAATTTTGAGAGCAATTATTGGAACTTATTGCTGATTGGAACCTGCTGAAATTTTAGTAAAAACATATAAATTTATTTATAACTATCTAATTGAACATCAAATTTTCAATCTTAAATTCAGGATCTCCCGAAATACTTATAATTTTATTTAGTTATTAACGAACAAAATTAGATAATAATTCTAAGGATTGTTGAAACTTATTGCTGGTTGTTGGATTTATAAAAATTTTATTAATAACTATCTAATTGAATATGAAGTCTTCAAAACTTTTAGAAGAAGACATTGCAAATACATTATAGTGTTACTATATTAGAAATAAAATTTTAATATTTTCATCCAGTACGGCCCATTTTGCCGATAATCGATGATATCGATATCATATTACATATAAATAAAATTGATATTTTATATATTGGCAATTTGCACATATTAAAACAGTGTTGTTGGTAATATCAAAAGTCCGCCTAAAATTTAGTTGCAGAAAACACGCGGTCATTCATATTTTGTTCGTCGTGGGTGATAGTGGTATTTTAGTAAATCGGCCAAGATAAATTATTTTATTTGCAATACAGGTTGACGTTGAATTTGTTTAAGTGTTAAGTGTAAGTTCAGCAAAGTGTTTGTGGACATTTTCTTGTAGAATTTCCTATCGATGCTGAGGTGTGTACCTGATAGGTGAGTGATTCATTTTTCATAGTATCATTTTCTTACTTCTAGTTCATTAGTTAATAAGTTTTTCCAGTGATTTATTATAATTCTTATAAACGTGTTAACATAATTCTGTGTTGATGTATACTTCGGGATTAGTCTTTATGATTTTACCTTGTTGAAATATTACGAAGTATTATATTCGAAGGTTCTTAAGTACCTTCAGCCATTTTCTGTATGGGCGTACATTTTACAAAAAAAAAATAGCATCTAAATCTGGACTATATTTGTAATGAAAGAATATTTAAGCAACTAACGTTTATCAAGTAAAGTTAGTAAAATTACAAGAATTAGTAAGCAAAATTAGTATTACGAGAATTTTTTGAAGCGCTCTGGATTCTAATTATTATTTTGAAGATGATGTAACCTTTAATACAAATATTAATCTAACATAACTGTAAACAATTCAGCTATATGCAAATTGCTTTTGATTAGTACTTACAACTAGAAATTGTATATTAAATTAAATGACTGAGCAGACAAAGGATCAAATGTTGGGCTTTAATAGGCGTTGTTACATCTACAATATTAAAAATCAATCAAATATATAGATAAGTTAATCATTGGATTACTTATTGGATCATAAAAGTTCGAATAAAGAAAAGGATTATATTTGCTATTTTAAAAAATGAATTAGAAATAAAAAAAATGGTCGTGTCCCAAATGTTATATGTCGGGGCTCCTAAAATGCCCAATATTTTAACGCATGTTTCCAGATTGCTTAGAACCAAGAAAATACTCTCTTATAAATAATATTTTCTTATGAACGATTTGCCATCATCATACTTCAGTACTGCAGTTTTCAGACTATTTCTATAAAATTTAACATATTTATTACATCAATGCTTCAAATTTAATCTTTTATTTCTGGTGTCGCCCAGCCAATCTTCTTTAACCATATCTGCAGCCTTTTCCGCAATCATGTAGACCACAGCAGTAGTATGAGCGGCAGGCAAGGTTGGCATTATGGAAGCATCCACAACTCGAAGGCCTGATATTCCATGTACCTTCAGTCTGTGGTCAACCACGGCTGATGAATCGTTTTGCTGGACCCATTTTGCAGGTTCCGACCTTGATAAGAAAAATATATATTAACTTTGTTTGGTACCCAATCTATGATTCTAAAATTGCTTTGTGTTCACATACTGCTTTATGAATAAAAAAATTGCTCTATGGCTAAATGGAATTGTTTTTACGGTGATGTTAAATAGTACGCCGTTTCTTTTTTGTATCAGTATGAATCCAAAAGTTTGTAACTGATGTTATAAAACGATTTATAAAAATCCATTCTTACTAATTTTTTGTGTGGATGATTTGCTAATTTTTTTAATTTTATGATCGAAATTTTATGATCGAAATTTCCAATATTTTATAATAATTCTAGCTTAAACTAGAATTGAATTATACCTAATATTTAGATGTGTGATCAATTATTATTTTTCAATATTCCATTCCTTGTTTACCTGATGATGTAATGTGCCAGCAACATGCCTAAGAGCGCATTCCCAATATTCGTCTGTTTCACTAGTAAAATTTTTGCATTTCGAGTGCGGAATAGAATTTAATGTCACATTGTATTTACTAAATGCTTTGGTTCGAATCATTTTTATTGCCTATGAATAAATAAAAGTATGTATTTACATATTTATGTATGCAGCGTTATAGATAACGGTAAATGATAAATGAATCGCAATCGTCGGCAATAACTGCTTGTAGATAGAAATATGTAACAAACTTATCTAATATCATTGCAGTAATGATTGTTTTGGGAAATAATTAATTCAATTTTGATTAATTTCTACTTACCAATTTTAAAGCTTCAATCATTACTTTTATATCATGTTCATTACTCAAGTAATTTGGGTTGATAATTGGAGGTTCCATCGGATCCCTACTCGCTAATTTTACTCTTCCCACTGGTTTAGGCGCCAATTGAAAGGCAACAAGACTAAAATTTTAATTCGGATTAGCTTTCTGTGTTTGATTCGATACCTTAGCTATATGTTTAAGAATTCCAGAATACGTGAATAGTACAACCTCGACATCGGGTATTTTTTTATTGTTAAATTTCGTATTCATCAATGATAACGCTTCCATACCAGATGGTAATGTTATTGGTCCTTTGCCGTTTTTAAAGTAGTCTTCAACGTACTCAGGATTTTCTAACACGTCTTCTCCTATACCTTCCAAGCCTTCATACTCGAATTCTAATGGCATGATACCAAAATGATTTCTGTAATTGTATCCCACTTTCAAGTCTTTGACTACTGGTATTCCAAGGCTCTGCAAATGTTTACTTGGTCCAATTCCAGATAACATAAGAACTTTTGGCGAATTAAATGTGCCCGCACTTAGAATTACTTCCTTCCTTGCTCTGATTTTATAGTTTGTACCGTTTTTGGTAAAATAGACACCCACGACTCTGTTTTTTGAATTATTAAACAATATTTTTGTAACAAAAGCTGATGTGGATATAGATAAATTAGGTCTTGTTGATGCTGGTTTGAGGTAACAATTCACAGCGCTGCATCTTCTACCATTTTTCAAATTAGTCTGCAATTTGGCGACACTTGTTTGATTTAATCCATTGTAATCATTTGTTTCATAACCTAGTTCTAATCCAGCTTCTATAAAAGTTCTGGATAAGTTAGTTTCGTATCCTGGGTAGTCTACACTTAAATAACCTTCAGTTCCATGGTAAATCGAGTTTTTTAAATTTTCAATGTGGATTTTCTCAGACTTCTTGAAGTACTTCAATGCATCTTTGTAGCACCAGCCGTGGTTACCAGCATCACACCATCTATCATAGTCTTTCTTATTGCCTCGAGAATATAAAACAAAATTTAATATACTGGATCCTCCTAATACTTTACCACTTGCTATATCGCAATATCCATTTCTTGCTAAACAACTACCATTTTGCTTAACACTTTCATAATTCCAATCAAATGAAGTGCCAATCAAATTTCCAGCTAGCAATGGAACATCAGATAGATAATTTGATTGTTCTCCTGCTTCTAAAAGTAAAACTTTCCAGTTATTTACTTCTGTAAGTCTGTTGGCCATTACACTTCCACCAGGGCCACTTCCAATGATGATAAAATCATAAACATCTTCGAATTGGTCTATTGTTGGAATTGGTTTGTCCGTCGATGCTTCATGTTCATTGTAATAGTCTTCAAGAATTTGCGTAGAAACATCAGCAAAAACTGAGGATATAAATTTTATACAAAAAATCCCTATTATAATGAACACATTCGTCCTATTTTCGCAACTCATTTTGCAAAGTTCTTTGGAATAAATCAAGTCAAAAATTGAAAATATACTAATTATTAGTTTTGCTATGGTTATGTTTACTATTATTTATTTTTCAAGTCCAACATTGATGCAACACTATAATTAGTGCAAAATTGTCACAAACAACTTTTATATAAATATTCATACTTCTATGTACATTTGAGTAATTGTCTACTATATTAGTGCGTTTGTTATGAATGAATGAAACACGTGGTTGAAAAACGAGATTTTTTTAGATTTAATATTTATTCTTGAATTTTTCGATGATTGTTATTAAGTGTTAATGTCTTTTTTAATATAATAATAATATTTATAATGTTGTTCCATTGCCAAATCGTCGTGACGACCAAAAAATGTTAAATTATTTAAAAAAAATTATCAGCAGTCAATTTTATTGAAGAAGTGATTGTTTTGAACTATTGCTGATGACTTTTAAATTTTTAAGTTTCGTTTCACAAAAGGTCCTAATTAAAAAAAAAATTATTAAATTATGTTTGTGTAGTTTGTTATATATAATATAAGCTTAGCATTTATGAAATTATGATAAAATATTTCCCCTTGATAATATGAAATTCTCGACACAAGAACGTCGAGAATTTCGAAGCTCAGGCGAAAAATACATTGTTATTAAAAGTTCTTTTAATTCTTATATTCATTTTATTTTATTTTAATTAATTATAAAGTTATATTTTAGATTCGTTATTTTTCATCCTAAAAAGAATCTAAGTTTTTTTTATTGGATTCAAATATCCTTATCACAACATAAATTTTAAACTTTCAGTATATTTTTAAAAATACTTTGAATTGTAAGAATTTGGTAATAGGCTTTATTAAATATTATAATAAATTTAGCTATAATTATTTACTTATGTAGAGTATAATTATTTCTAATAGAATAATGAAATGCTAATAGACAAAATTAAGTATAATAAATGAAAAGATAGTACTAATTTTATTTTTGCCAAAGACGCAACAGATTTTGTAAACAATTCTAAGAATTCTAATAAGTTTTTTATTATTTTGAAATTATTCAATGACTTTGGAAATTTTTTGTTATTATCAAACGATTTGAACCTAACTGTGCAAGTTATAATTTTTCTATTTGCATTTTAATTACCCACTTTAAAATAATTATACCCTGCACAAATAGAAAATTATAGTTTAAATATATTTACAATTTCATTTGTGTGCAAATTTCAATAAAAACAAGAATATTTATATGTGGAATCACCATGATGCGTAATTTAAAAGTATTAATAATTGTATGAAGGTTTAGTGGTTAGAGCTATGGGAATTTAATCAGAAGTTACTGGTTCCGTATGCCTGATATCTGGGCAGCCTGATGTCAAGCAGTAGTGACATATTGAAAATATATAAGCCCTTGCCTGGCATTGCTGCATCAATAAAAAGAAATTCATTAGTTTTATAGAAATTGTTCTTATATAGGTATTCATCATATAGAAATAGGTTTGGTTGCCATGATAAAATCATGTCATAAAAAAATGACACATGATGTTATTCATAACACACTTTAAAATGTGCTACTTTATTCAAAACTTCAATAATTTTACTTATTTTTTGGAATAGAATAAATTTCAAGGCAATTTTGCTCAATAGTATTGAGCTGTTGTTTGCCCATCAGATTCAAATTCCAATATGGTGAATTTTAATAAAAAGCCAGAGTAAAGCGTGGCTGGGTATGCTAGTATATATATATATATATATATATATAATTATCTAAAATATTAGATCGAATCATTGTGAGATACCTTTACCAAAAATCGTTGGTGACATATCGACCCGATTTTCAAACTATCATTATATTTCATATTAAAACCTGATGGAGGATCCTAAATGCATTTCGTGTAAAACTGCATGTTATTAAATTTTATTAAACATGTTTCGAAGATCGTTAATTTTAAATCTTTCGAGAACATTTGAGAATGAAAAATCAGCTGTGCCACGATGACAGCCGTTACTAGTTCGCGGAGAGATAACGTGTCGGCCTTAATTTCACTTCGAGGATTTTTTATCTGACCTATGCACTTTTTTCTCCCCTACGAATAGACGAGATGTCTATTGGAAATAGAAACTTCAAATATTCTCAATTTACCAGTGACGTACGGAAATAAAACAAATATGAACACATTTAAAAAAAGCCTAAGATTTTTACAATTTATTACTTCCTATAATAATTTGACACAGAATGGGCTATTTTGTGTATTTAACGTTAAAGATCTTATTTTTATAAAAATATGATGTAATGTAATTCGTTTTTTACTTCCAATATAAAATGGGCCTAGTCGTTTTTTGGAATTAGAAGAATTTTTGCAAAAAAATGCTTAAGCAATTTTGAAAATTTGAAAACCGACACAGTTTTCCTTGTTTCTTGGTAAATAGTTATTAAAATTTTTTTTTCTATTTTGATGTATTTTATAGATTAGTCTTAGTCTTAACGAACTTCCTAAATATTATAGGCCTACGAAAATTAGTTCGATTATAAAAATTTATTTCAGCTTGACTGCATCAAAATTTCAAGTTCTATCACCACAATTTGGAAAGTTCCTAAATCCCAATTTTTATTTATTATACCGATTATTCAGACATACAAGGAAGCTTTTGCAATTTTCCTTTAGGCAAATGCCACTTCCAACTATTTATTTTCTACACGGTTTTGATTATACGTTAAAAACTTAAATTTCAACTTTTACTAATTTAAGAATACTTGGCTCTTTTTATAATTGGGTATCTGTAATTTTTACAAATATTAGATTTATTGGATATCGATAAGACATACGATAATTTATAAAACTTTTTAATTGTTACTCAGTTTATATAATTCTTTAAAATATTTCACTTTTGAATGTAAGGACTGCTAAAATCAGAGGCAATCTGTCTTTTTTCAAAATTTTTTGTCTTAATTTTCTACTTTAAATATATAAATTTAATTATCGATTTAACGAATAACCATTTTTTTTTAATTTAATTTGTTTTCTATATTATAACATAGCTGAATATTTTAAATCGTGAGCGTAATTTTTCGGTAAAAAAATGGTGGATGCAATTTTTTTCCAAAATCATCATTTTCCAAAACTTCATTTCCATTTTTTCATTTTTCTGCAAATTGGTATAAACATTGATCCTTTAAGATTTTTCTATCTATATTTTCTTCCACATAAAAATAATAGTTATAGACAATTACCTATTCTACACCTCTGTGTCTAAAATAACGATACCTGTCTCTACTCAGCTGTCTGTTAGGCCCTCTCAGAATCTTCGTGTGTGAATTTTTGACTGTGGGACGTCCCGTTCGGGAATGGGTCCCATATGGGAATTTTTGCATTAGTAATTTCATGCACGTTACTTAGGTACACTGAACTGATTAAATCGAATTACCTGTGAAAAAAATCTAGGTTTATTTAATTAATATTTTATCCAGAAAATTTTAAAAATGTTCGAAAATTTAAACAAAATTAGTCAAATTTTGAGGAAATGAAAGTTTGAATCACCATATTACTACCAGCATTAGTTTTCATTAAATTATTAACAAGAATTTTACTCATATTATTCATCATGTAAATATTATTGACAAAATAGCATCCTTATGTTGCCTGATAGAAAATTCAAAAAAGGTGTTTAAATATTAATACTTTAAATACCTTGAACTTTGAAGTTATATTAAAAAAATTTCTTAATTTCGGCCGAGAGTCCTAATCATCAAAACCATTTTGGTGAAATATTTTTCATTTTTATGTAATTTTTTATTTCTTTAATAGTGATCAATAATATTAAGTATTTCAGGCCCTCGTTGAGCAATTAAACTATTTCTGTTTCTAATTTGAAAAATACTTGGTTAAGTGTACATCAAGGTAATATTTTGATCTTGTCTGCACTCAGTAGACAAATGTTTATCCTAGGGTCTATATAATTCAGTAGTGAACTAATAGTTGCCTAATGTTTCGATACTTCAAAGGTTGTTCTAGAAAACTCATTTTCTTATTCTTGTTCTCAGAGATGACCAGTTCCAAATTATTTTCCATATAGCTTGGATATTCATACTGATTTCTTTTTATTTTAATTTGGACTAGTTTGTCTTGACATCAGAACTAAGGAATGTGATAAATTGCTTCACATAAATCATAATTTGTTCACATTAATCATGTATCAAATATATAATAGATTTTTCTTTAAAATTCGAATGTTCAGAAAGTTTTGATTAATATTTGTCTTTTTCAAAAACAAATTTAAGTTTTTAACAAAATATATAAGGCGATAGCAAAATATTCATTTATTTATTTTTATAATAATATTTTTAATTACACTGAATCTTAATGTGAAATGCTAATTACTTGCTAAGATAATCTCAAGTCACTGGTGGGAACAGAAATATGATTCTGATAAAATTATTAATATTATTTAATATAAAAATTATATTTAAATTATTTTATATAATCAACAACAATATTTTAATTTATATTTTTGGGCAATTTAAAAAAAATATTTACCTCTATCAACTAATTGAAATTTCATATAAAAAAAATCCTTTACAAAAGTCCGTTATATTTGCCAGTATCCTTTTAAAATAACTCCTTAAATCCCCGAATTAAACGTTACGATAAGGATTGTTTATATTATATATTTATCTTATAGGGTTGGGGGTTGCTCTCGAAATCATATGTTCCATTATATTCGGAAACCGAGGGTGAGTGAACTATTCTTAAAGATTTCTGAAGAATCGCCAGCTGTTTTTGGCGTCAAGATTTGGCACGAGCCATTTCCTTATATTGTTTGATATAAAAAATGTGTACTATATCTGCCGGGGGACAAATTCATGAAAGCAAATCGATAAATTATGGTCATCGGGAATAATGGGTAAATGTGATAAAATCCTAGTACATCTGGAGTGATTAAA